GCTTCTTCAAAGCCAACTCGTCTTTAAAGGCCCAGGTCAAGTGCTCGCCTCTTCCAGCCAGTCTCACCAAAATTCCCCAGCTCAGATGTGATGCTTACTTCCCCCATGTCACACCCCCACCCCCACCCCACCCCTGCCGCCAGCCTTGCAGTACAGTATTCTTTAAACTAAATGTGCTCTGATTTATGGGTACCTCCATCTCTCTCAGTATTCTGTGCACTCTTTTTGGGCTGGTGTGATAAGATTCATTTGCATGCCATGTCACATGAAGCTATTCTAGAAAGACATTCCTTGATTCAGTTACATGCAAGTCTTCTCTGGGTTATAGTGATCTTCTTTCATTGGCTTGGGAGGCAATGGAGTCTTTGAAAACATGGACTCCCAAAGTCAGATCATGATCATGTATGTATGTGTATATATATATATATGTCTGTACCTCTGTTCTGTCATCTGTAAAATGTAGACAACAAAAACTCCCAACTCACCAGGATTCAGGAGATCTGAGAGTAGGGGGCTCAATGCACGACTCATGCTCAGAGCCTTAGGAAAACTTAGTACTCATTATTTCTCTTTACTACTAATTGTAAATAAATGTTTTGTTCTTTGGTGGTAATCACAGGGAATTATAGTTGTTTTCTAGCCTCAGAGAATATGAGTCTCTGGTGGTGGATACCCTGGATCTATATCCCTACTGCCCAGCAAAAGTTCCAGAAAAATTACCCTCAGTGTTTGTTGAACCTGGGACCTTTGGATTGTAGCCCTGATGTGTTATGTATGTAATGTGTATCTGTAATTAGAGACATTGCACAGTTAGACCCTAGAAATAAAGATCTCAAGAACCAGTAAGGAATGCACACTTACAAATTATAAATTAAAAATGCTTTCTTTATTTTTGAGATCATAACACAATCATATAATTCCCCTTTTCATTTTCCTCCCTCCAAATCCAAATATAGCCCTCCTTGTTCTCTTCCAAATCCATGACCCCATTTTCCATTAATTATTGTTACATTCATACATGTATCTGTATACGCATACATATTCCTAAATATAACCCGCTCAGTCTATATACATATGTGTAGGGGGCTGACCAACAGAATGAATTAGGATGTCACACAGTAGACAGTAGAGAATGCTAGAAGCAGAAAGGTGGGGTAGAAAAATGAACAACTAAGACACTGGGAGAGGATGACTTCACAAAGATAAAACTTGGCGTGAGATTTCAAGGGTGAATATAATACTGACTGAAAAAGTTCACCTGCCTTTTAACTCCTGATGATTTGGCAATGCCCAGAGGACAATTGTCCTCTTTACTGAGAGGACAATTATTTTGCCTTACCCCTGGGGAACAAACATCCTTGAGCCCCTGTGCATGTTCATTCTTGCGACCTCACCTTCTGTCTCAGCCCTTGGTAAGCCCAGGGAAATCAGCAAGCATCCTCTCATGGGTAAGCACTGCCTCTGCCTCTGAGCTACGTGCCCTGAGTTGTAGCTTAACAATTCTTTAGTGCTTAGGTCATGCCAGGCACCATAGCAGGGATTTCATGAACCCTTATAGACACCCAAAGCAGATATTGTACATTTTCAGAATTTTATTTCTTTTTCTTTATTTAAAATTCCTTCTTCATTTTACATACCAAACCCAGTTCCCCTCCCTCCCCTTCTCCCGCCCCCCCACACCCCATATATAATCCCCATCCACTCCTCAGAGGGGGTAATAATTTTAACTTGAGAAAATCAAGGCTCGAGTCACCCAGAAAGTTAAGTTGTTGGGCTACACCTGAAACCCATTTCTCTTTGGCTGTAAACGCTGTTCTTCCCTCCACAGCATCCTTTGAACAGTTGCGGATTAACAGGGTTTAATAACTGTTGATGTGACTTAAGTTTTTGAATGAACCAGAAGAATATGTGCTTTCTTTGTTCTGGGACAAGCAAAGCCCAACAGCATTGGGTTTGGGACAGAGATACAAAGCAAAACTCTCCTCTAACAACAGAACAAACCCTTCCAAATGCAAAACCAACATGAAACAGTTGCCAGGGACATTCAATCAAGCAGCAGCTGTACCCTTTTCACATAAGCAGCTGTCACAGGGCAATTGGCTATAACATGGCTAGAACAGCCTTACCTGATCACCATTCTCAACCGTGCTTGTCATTGTCTAGCCATCACGTTTGGACGCAGGGAATCCTGTGACCAACAGGTGGCGCTAGAACCCCACAGAACGTTTTTCTCCATCTTGCATCAAAGATTTTTTTTTTAAGGCCTCTGCTATATTTATTGTACCATAACCATGTTAGTTGATTGATTAGATATTTAGTTACAAAGCCATAATGCTTCAGTATGGAATTGTTATAAGTTGTACTGTGCCAAAATACAAACAACCTTCTGTTTTAAGGCTGAGAAAACTGGAGTACGGTCTAGGGCCATGACTGGTTCGGGGTTTGCTGTGTTGTTAATAACTGTGCCAGGACTGGATTTCAAGGTTTCAGACTATTTCTCCCTTCATCTCCCCTTCTCCTCCTGGTGCTATTTATGTATTTTATTTTTTCCAGCTATATTGAGGTACAACAGCTAAAATCACAAAGATCGAAGTTATACACTGTGATGGCATGATATATACATGTATTATGAAATAATTATCTTTACAAAGTTACTTAATATGTATATGACCTTGTATACTTATTTTTGCGTTATTAAAAACATTCAAAATGTCCCATCTTTACAAATTCCTAGTATATAATAGTAAAGTTAACTACAGTCCCCACACAGTATTAATAGTAACCCTCAGAACTTACTGTTCATCTTTACAGCTGGAAGTCTGTGTCCTCTGACTGCAGATCCTTTCCTAGTCCCTCAGTGCTGAGAAGCCACACGTTCCTAGCCTCTGCTCTTATGAATTCACTTTTTAAAAAAAAAAAATTATTTATTATGTATATAGTATGCCTGCAGGCCAGAAGAGGGCATCAGATCTCATTATTGATGGTTGTGAGCCACCATGTGGTTGCTGGGAATTGAACTCAGGACCTCTGGAAGAACAGCCAGTGCTCTTAACCTCTGAGCCATCGCTCCAGCCTATAAGTTCACTTTTTAAAGTCTCTATTGAACAGTGATATTATTACAGTCTTAGTATTTCTCTCACTTCACTTAACGTCATAGCCTCAAGTTTTATCCATGCTATCATGAATGGCAGGATTCCCTTTTTTTTAAAATTGTGGCCAAATGGTATTATTTTTATACATAATGTGTATTTATATATAGCATATTTCATATACATAGGCAAACATATACACTTACATATATTTCACCCTTCCTACATCCACGGCTGAGCACTTGGGTTGAATCCATATTCTAGCTATTGAATCTATATCCTAGCTATTGTGAACAATGCTCAATGAATATGAGAGTACAGACATTTCTTCAAAATACTGATTTTGTACTTTAAAACAGATATAACCATTACTAAGACTTCTGAATCATATGTCTATGCCTAATTTTTGAGGAAAAGCTACACTTGTTTTCATGGAGGCTCTTTATGCTCTACCTTACAGTTCTGCTCATAGAGCACAGGCTCTCCAAACCTCTTCCATAATCCCGTCTTTCTTAGAGTAGCCATTCTGTCAGGTGTGAGGCCACATCTCACTGTGGTTTTAATTTTCATTTCCCTGGAGGTCCCTGATGCTGAGAACCTTTCTGTGTACCCGTTGGCCATAGGTATGTGTTCTTTTGAAAAATGTCTATTCCACTTTCTTGCCTATTTTTTAATGGATTGTTTTTATCTCTGTTGTCTGAATTCATTATATGTTTTGGATTTTAATCCCTTGTTGGATATATGTTTTGCAAAACTTTCTCCAGTTCTACTGGTTGCCTTTGCATTCCATTGTTTGCTCCCTTTGCTGCATAGAAGCTTTTGTGTTTGCTGTAGTACCACTTAGTTATTTTTTTCTAGTCCTCTTGGTGGAGTCAAAGTCCAGATTATTGCCAAAAAGCCTTTCCCCATGTCTTACATGTTCAGTCTGAAAGTTTTTAATTCATTCTGATTTATCTGGTGAGCATTGTGAGAAATATATTTTAAAATATATTTTTTTATTTATGCATATGTCTGTGTAAATGTATGCCATGTGTGTTTGTGGGTGCCCGATGAAGCCAGAAGAAGGTATCAGATCCTGTGGAGCTGGAGTTACAAAGAGTTATGAGCTACCTGAAGTGGGTGCTGGGAACCAAAGGGTCCTCTGCAAGAACAGCCAGTGCTTTTAGCTTCTGAACCATGTCTCCAGCCCTGACATCTTTTTAATAGTTGTTCTCAGTGTTATTTTTGTATGCAAGGGTACCCAGTAAATGTGACTGCTTCATTGGTGATGGTGGTGGTGGTGGTGGTGGTGGTGGTGGTGGTGGTGGTGGTGAATAAGGGAGAGAAAATATCTAGAGGCATCTGGAAGGGTCTGGATCAGAAAGAAAGAAATAGACTGGGCTAGGGAAACTGTGGAACCACAAGCTTCATAGTCTAGACTTTGATGAAGCACAGTGAGAAGCCTTTCTTCTAGGAGAGCTATAGATCACAGAGAGCTTCTCTGACACTGACATCTCTGATGTCTAGGCTCTTATTCCTCTGTTGATGGGTCATGAAAGTTGACCAGACCCCTACTAATCCATCGCATAGAGAGAAACTATATCTCATCTGTTTGAAGATCCCTGGTAGCCCAAGCTATCAATTAACTGGAGTTATGGATGGTTATGAGCCAACACATGGGTGTAGGAACCAAACCCCAAAACTTTACAAGAATAACAAGTGCTCTTAGATGCTGGTCTATCTCTCCAACCCTAAGAAATGAAGATTTATTCTTAGAAAATGTCCATAAGTGAAGGTCATATTTCCATATTGAAGAAAGGAAAACGCCATCAACATCATTGCTCACCAATCATTTATTGAGTATTTTAATATAATTAATATAATGTTTTACATGTAGTCTTTGTTGGAAAGGTTTTCAGAATTGTCTCCCATTCTCCAGCAGCCAAAGCTCATCAAAGTCCAAAATCCTTTCCTTCAAACGTAGTATAAGTCTCCATTGTACCTTTTCCTGTTTCTAAACGTTAGGGAGAATTTTCTGCCATTCAATGATTCAACCAAGTATCACCTAAACTGAAAACAAACTAGGAATGATTTAAATCTACAAAGTGATCAAAATGAAGATTGGTTAGTTCACCTAATTTACTCCACCCAACCAAATAACCCTAGAATTGCTACTCAAGGAATTGAAATTTCAAAAAGTGGGTGCTAGACTAGTCTTCAGAAGCATTCTCATAGATAGATGAAAAAGAGAAGGATGACATACAGCTTGACCCTTTTAAACAGAAGCAAAGGTGAATGGACATGTAGGTTTCTTCATTAGATTCAAGCTATGTTACCTCTGCTGCTCAGGCAGCCTAGTATTGATAAGCTGCTTGCTCTCGTACATAGTCATAGAGGGGGTTGGGGGAATTAGCTGTTTTGGTAGGGTGGTTTCTGTGTTGCTCTCTTCTTTGGGACCTCTCACCACCATGGGTTGGATGGAAATGTCTTTCCTGGGATCCTTGGCACTGGTCCTCTTCATTCATGTGGAATTTTTCTTTGTTGGGGAAGCTCCTGGGTTGGTCTTGGGATCCTTGAAACCTCTCGTTTTCTTCATGAGTTTGTTCATCCCACTGTTGATGATGATTTTGATTTTCGTCTTGTCTCTGATGGCTTTGCTCATCTTCATGGGTTTGTCTACCATGTTGATGACCTTGATTTTCTTCATGAGTTTGCCTGTGTTGTCTTTGCTGTTTCTGCTCATCTACATGGGTTTGCCTATCCCTTGTCTGATGGCTTTTTTCATCTTCATGGGTTTGCCTGTTCTGCACCTCATATAGATTTTCCTGATCCTCAAGACTGTGCCTATCCCAGCTTTGATGATGCACTTCCTCTGCCCAGTGGCCCTCCTCACTACTCTGGGATTGCCAGTCATACTCATTATGGGAGTATGGCTTTTCTTGCTGTATCTGAGCTAAGAGTTTGTGTTGATTATCTTCTTCAGGTTTCCATGCCTGGTGGTGAGTTTGCTGCTCCCTTCTATCCTGGAATCTCTGTCTCTGGGTTTGATTCACTCCCTCTCCTGAAGTCTGTTGACTTAGTTTTCCTGACCTTCCAGATTGCTCAACATATGAATCTCTCCTTGTTTTATCAGTTCCTTGGAAGTACCTGTTTTGCCCTTGAAGTTCAGTTTTCCCAGTCTCTGACTGACCACAGTGAGAACTCTGGTTTTGTCTGTCTATTTGACCCCGGTGAGAACTCTGGCCTTGTCTGCCCGTCTGATCATAATGAAAACTCTGGCCTTGTCTGTCTGTCCGATGCCAGCTTGAACTCTGGTCTTCACTGTCTGATTGACCCTGGTGAGAACTCTGGCCTTGTCTGCCTGTCTGGTCAAAATGAAAACTGTGGCCTTCTCTGTCTGTCCGATGCCAGCTTGAACTCTGGTCTTGACTGCCTGTCTGACCCTGGTGAGAACTCTGGCCTTGTCTGCCTGTCTGATCAAAATGAAAACCGTGGTCTTCTCTGTCTGTCCGATGCCACTGTGAATTCTGGTCTTCACTATCTGATTGACCCTGGTGAGAACTCTGTCCTTGTCCACCTTTCTGACCCTGGTAAGAAGTCTGTCCTTGTCCACCTTTCTGACCCTGGTAAGAAGTCTGTCCTTGTCCACCTTTCTGACCCTGGTAAGAAGTCTGTCCTTGTCCACCTTTCTGACCCTGGTAAGAAGTCTGTCCTTGTCCACCTTTCTGACCCTGGTAAGAAGTCTGTCCTTGTCCACCTTTCTGACCCTGGTAAGAAGTCTGTCCTTGTCCACCTTTCTGACCCTGGTAAGAAGTCTGTCCTTGTCCACCTTTCTGACCCTGGTAAGAAGTCTGTCCTTGTCCACCTTTCTGACCCTGGTAAGAAGTCTGTCCTTGTCCACCTTTCTGACCCTGGTAAGAAGTCTGTCCTTGTCCACCTTTCTGACCCTGGTAAGAAGTCTGTCCTTGTCCATCTTTCTGACCCTGGTAAGAAGTCTGTCCTTGTCCACCTTTCTGACCATGGTGAGAAGTCTGTCCTTGTCCACCTTTCTGACCCTGGTAAGAAGTCTGTCCTTGTCCACCTTTCTGACCGTGGTGAGAAGTCTGTCCTTGTCCACCTTTCTGACCCTGGTAAGAAGTCTGTCCTTGTCCACCTTTCTGACCCTGGTAAGAAGTCTGTCCTTGTCCACCTTTCTGACCCTGGTAAGAAGTCTGCCCTTGTCCACCTTTCTGACCCTGGTAAGAAGTCTGTCCTTGTCCACCTTTCTGACCCTGGTGAGAAGTCTGTCCTTGTCCACCTTTCTGACCATGGTGAGAACTCTGGCCTTGTCTGCCTGTCTGATCATAATGAAAACTATGGCCATCTCTGTCTGTCCGATGCCAGCTTGAACTCTGGTCTTCATTGTCTGACTGACCCTGGTGAGAACTCTGGCCTTGTCTGCCTGTCTGATCATAATGAAAACTATGGCCATCTCTGTCTGTCCGATGCCAGCTTGAACTCTGGTCTTCATTGTCTGATTGACCCTGGTGAGAACTCTGGCCTTGTCTGCCTGTCTGGTCAAAATGAAAACTGTGGCCTTCTCTGTCTGTCTGATGCCAGCTTGAATGTTGGTCTTCATTGTCTGATTGACCCTGGTGAGAACTCTGGCCTTGTCTACCTTTCTGACCACAGTGAAAATTTTGGCCTTTGCTCTTTGTCTGGTCATGAGAACTCTGGCCTTGTCCATCTATCTGACCATGTTGGAAACCCTTCTGGCCTTGCTTATCCATCTGTCCATAATGGAAACTCTGGCTTTGTCCATCTGTCTGATCATGTTGGAAACTATGTCTTTGTTTGTCTGGCTGGCTATTGTGAGAATTCTGGGCCGGTCTGTCTGTCTGACTGTTGCCTGATTTCTGATGCTGCCTTCCATATTGTTCATAAGAACCAGATTCTTGTTGACTGGTTTGACTAGAATAAGAATCTTGTCGGAGCCTTCCAGACTGGCCACGGCTGCTTTGTCGTCCAAATGTTTTAGACTGGCCGTAATGAGAAACCTGAGCTGGGTTCTTAGACTGATTTAAGGCAAAGACATATCCTTGACTTTTGGCCTGGTCATTGCTAGATTTATAACTCAATCTTTGACCAGAGCTAGAGTATTGATCATCTGTCTCAGACTGATCAGAGCTATAATCTGTGTCTTCTCTCTCAGAATGACCATAGTGGGAGTCCCCATGGAATCTCTCTGACTGACCATGGTGGGAATCCCTATCTTGTCTCTCTGACTGACCATGGTGAGAGTCTGTACCATGTCTCTCAGAGTGACCGTAGTGAGAGTTCTTATCTTGTTTCTGAGACTGATCATGTTGGACATCCTGACTTTGTCCCTCAGACTGACTGTTGTGAGAATTCTGCCTATGTTGTCTGCCTGTGTTTTCTGAAAACTTACGGCTCTGTGTTCCTTTCTGATCCCGTTCTTTCTGGGAGGAGGTTCTGCCTCCATACAGCTTACTATCTAGCTTATGATGGCAGGCTTGGGCCAATTGGAACACCAACAAGAGGTATTCATGAAAATCAACATATCCATTTCTGTCTCGGTCCAAGTGTTCCAGAATGGTTTCCACAGTCTCTGGGTCATTCGGTCTCTGTGAGAAGAAAAAAAGGAAAAAACCCAAATGTCCTTTTATGGATGCTGGATTGTATATCAGTCTTAATGCCCCAATCAGCTCCCAAACAGGGTTTCTTTCTTTCTTTCTTTCTTTCTTTTTGCGAAACTATTAATGTGAAGTGGCTTAGTTCTGGTTCTAGTTTTTGATCAGCTTGTTTTCTGAACCTCATCTTTTGATGAACCAGTGAGGTATGACCACAGGGAACAGGCAACTGTATTAACAATGGATTTAAATCATTTGAGAAAGTTATTATGTCTTTTTATATGATATAGCCTACATGTTTATATACCTCTTTCTCACTACACTGTGACATTATCAAAGGAAAAGAAGTTAGTTTTCTTCATGTTTGTATCCTCCATAACTCCCATCATGCCAGTATGGAATAGGCACTCAATGAACTTTTAGTAAATTAATGAATAAATACCTGAGAAGGTATGTGCATAGGATTACATATAGAAAATATGAATGACAGAATTTAAAAACGTTATTCCCCATTACTTTGTAGTTGTTCTGTGTTTTGTTCATGTACAAAGAAGGAGGTGTGTGTGTGTGTGTGTGTGTGTGTGTGTGTGTGTGTGTGTGTGTGTAAGAACTACTGAGGAACTGTCTGAACTAGAAAGAGCTTACCAGTACATTACAGGTGGGAAATGACCAAATAAAACAAAATATTAACAAGATATCTTGAATGCAGACACCAGAATCATACATTCCATGCCACAGGATCAAGATCCTGGGTGTCTTACCCGAAGGATGTCTCCAAACTCAGTGAGAAGCAGCTGCTTCAACTCCATCTTGCTCAGTGAAGTGCATTCCCCATGGTGTTCAGCATATTTCTGGAATACCTTACTCACATTGAGTATGCTGTTAAGAAGTTGAGGCATTCTGGCAAATACAGGTGAATCTTTAGAAAAGAAGAAGAAGAAGAAAAGAAAGAAAGAAGATTTTGTTTATGTGTGGGATGAAGACTTGGAGTTGGCATTTCCAGAGAGTGGTTGCTTGGGTTTGGGAAAGAGGTTTAAGAAACCACAGAGTCCCTTCTTAACCATAATTTTAGGCTAGTCATGTGACTAACACTCAGGCTCCAAATATCAAATATTAATTATCATGGCAGTGATTCAAAGCAGTTTTTCTTTGCTAGTAAAAGGCAAATTCTTTGAAAAAATAAAAAAAGACCTGTGTAGTAGATATTTCACAGGCCTTCCTCTCTACTTTGGGTGGAAGTTGCTTGACTGAGACTCTCATGTGAGAGCAAAAATGAAGGAAGGTTAGCCCAAAGAAGATGGACCAGAGGGAAGCACAAAGTGTGTAGTTTCCCAGCAATGACTGCAGAGATCAGTAAACGCATGCCATTGAAGAGGTATCTATCTTCTAAGGAGTCTTCTTTAAGCAAGGAAGAAGGTAAAATCTCTCTTTCGGTGGTCCAAGAAGCCTTTCTGAGAGGTTAAGTTCTTGAAAACCCTTTTACCTGCTTATTAAACAGAATCGGTAATGGAAAAAAAGTTACAGAGAAAAGCAGCAAGTGGACACACTGCACACATGACAGGTGCTGCAGAGTCAGGTCAGCACTGGCCGTGCTGGGGAGCTGGGGTCTTCTGCAATCTGCATGCCGATAGTCCTTCTTGTAGTACAAAAAACTGTGCTCACAGGCTTCTGAAAATGCCACCCCAACGACAAAACATAGGCAGACAGTGATGCCTGTACATGTGAGCGACAAATAATAGATTGCACAGGACAAGCTGCGCCTTTTGTGACTGTTTATGATAGTGAAATTGAGTGTTTCTGAGTCCCCAGGGTCCAGGCCTTGCCTAACTTGTACAAAAGGTAAACACTTCACTCCAGAACAGTCATCCATCAACCAGTCATTCAGAAGCTCCGTTTTTGGGATATGTAGGGCCCACATATTTAGAGGTAGGCTGCTCCAGCACTCATCATATTCTAAGATAGAGCTCTGAAAAGGAAGCAGAAAGGTGCCCAAGAGTATCACCGACAGGAAACAGTCACTGCCCTCCACCTCCTAGCTTTCTACTATAAGTAGCATATACTGCCACACTTGTAGATGCTGCTGTTGCTCCAGCATGCATGTCTTACCTGTTGGAGGAAGAGTAAGCTGAAGATTCAGGAGCCAGGGAGGATGTTAGAGACCTAAAAATCCATCCTATTTATAAGATTTTTAATTATCCTACTAAGTCATCCCAGGAGACACCCATTCTGTGGTGGGGCCTGAATCATTCTGGGCTCAACCCAGCTCAGCCCAGTCCAACCCAGCTCGACCTCTCCCTCTGCAAACCGTTCGGTTTATTTACTTCCCCCATTTGCTCATGAACCTGTTTGTCATTGTAGTAGGTGACACTTTTCAAGTCTCAGCCCCACTTAATTAAGGGAGTGTGTGTGTGCTACATGCTGCACGGGTTAAAAAGACAGAGGTTCCGGCTGAATCGATCCTTAGAAATTATTCCATACCAAGGCTGATGGGGGTAGATAACAGTTCAATCATACCAAAGAAAGATGTTTATATGTTCTATTAAAAAATCCCACTCAAGTAGAGATTAGGGAGTCTATACATTTGGTCAGGATATATTTCTTGGAAAATATAAGTCTTAAACTTATATTTTGCTTGTACAAGTAGATATTCGTGTATCTTACTGACCTATTTTTAATAGATATTCTTTTCTGCAGGCTAGTAGGAAAAGTAGTTGTACGATCAATTTTAGGGACACAGTAGGTGGCAGGTGATGAAGGTAGAGTTGACATTTGAGAGTTTTATTGTTGTTTTGCTTTTTGCTTTTTTAGAGACAGGGTTTCTCTGTGTAGCCATCGCTGTCCTGGAACTCACTCTGTAGACCAGGCTGGACTCGAACTCAGAGATCCACCTGCCTCTGCCTCCTAAATTCTGGGTGGGATTAAAGCTGTGCACCACCACTGCCCAGCATGACACTCGAGTCTTTAAGTCGTACTAAAAAGTTAGAGTTAGGGGACAAGCTGGAAGCTTATGATGTCTGTGAGACAGAGATATTGTTGGTGACCTGAGCCTCCACTTATCTTCCATCTCAGTAACACCTGTGACACATCAGCACAGTGTCTTGTCATTGAGATCCTTAATAAATCTTCCAGGATTAAGTGAATTGTTGAATTGTGGACACATTGGAGACTGAATCTTGTGTAAGGAACAAAGAGTTCGAGATTCACCTGCCTTTCTGCTTTGTCTCACAAGTGCCAGTTGTATATAATTACATATGGAATACATAATCATATTAAATAATTGATTATATGATTATATAATTAGTTACATCCATTGATTATATAATTAGTCTCCCAGTCAATTGCTTGTGATGACACTTGCTCTTATTTACTCTATCTTTAGGATTTTTCAGAGGAATCATAAAAGGTCAGAAACATTTTAGTCTAATTGGACTAAAGACTTTGAAAGACCAGTGTAGGACATGCTGTGTTCAATAGTTAGAAAATCTAGATGGAATTCTTCTGGGCTGGCCCTGGCATTCCTTCAGCTCCAGTTTTGTAGGCAAGATTTATGTTGTTCTTTGGAACACTTAGGAAGAGAAGGAGAGAAAGCAAAGACCAAAGTGGCATAGTTGAGAACTCCCACGTGGCTGGAATTAGCATGGGAGCCTATGTCTGGGGAAGTAGAGAGTGATAAAAGAGTAGAGGTAGAGAATTTGTGGGCTGAAAGGGAAGTTTAGCTTTAGCTTCTTAATTTATAGATGAGGAAACGGAAGTTTCTAGTTATCCTGAATGACCTGCTGAAGGACTCTCACAAGGCCTGATGCACATTTACCTTCCTAGCACAGTACACCTCTCCTCTCTTCTCCTCTCCTCTCCTCTCCTCTCCTCTCCTCTCCTCTCCTCCCTTCTCCCCTCCTCTCCTCTCCTCTCCTCCCCTCTCCTCTCCTCTCCTCTCCTCTCCTCTCCTCTCCTCTCCTCTCCTCTCCTCTCCTCTCCTCTCCTCTTCTCTCCCTTCCCTTTCTTCATTTCTATCTCTCTTTTCTGAGGAATGATCTCACTATGTAGACCAGGCTAGCCTCAAACACATGGGAATCATCCTGCCTCAGCCACTCAGCTTCTAGGATTACAGGTATGTTACCACACCCGGCTAATATGCAATTTTATGCATTCTATGGAAGCTAACTAGCGCCCAATTTAAGGGTTTGTTTTACTGATAAATGTTAGTTGAGGGTTTGTTGGTTTTGCCGTCAGCATTGTTTTGGGGAAGATTTTAAGTTCATTGCAGTATGTGACTAGTTTTCTCAATTAATCTAGAACTGAGGAATTTCCCAGGATTAGAAATGAGTGCTGAAAGTGGAAGCGTTCTGGGCAGCCTGGGAAGCACGGATCACTGTAGTTTGTGGTGACTGGATGGACCTGAAAGAGCAATGTCAGAGCAGGGAGGCCGGTTAGAAATCAATAGTGCGACTTTGGTGAGAAGCAGGCAAGGGGCTTTGATCCTGATGGAGCAAATTAAACTGTAGGAAGATGGATGGATGAAATAGGGAAAGAAAACATATTTTTTTTTAACAGATTCAAGAAGTGGAAAAGAAAGTGGGGATATCAGGAATCGTCCCAAGGATTTAATCTAGATGACTAAAAGGACCACACTATAATGAAGGCATGTAACTTCTGAATGAGGCTGGTGAAACCTAAGATGAAGAGCCTCTGCTGGCATTCCTGGGTCCCTGTCCTTTGAAGTCGTGATTTCCTGCTGCTTCAACTGCTCTCAGCATGTGTCACAGGGTTATCATGCTCTTATAAGTAGGATTTTCAGTCCATGAATTCACTTAACACCTAAGCTCTCTAGCACGGTCAGAATCACCTAGTCAGTTATTCAGTGGATACTTGTGAGCACACGGAAGGCCATTCTGTAGGTCCAGAGTTAAAACATAATCCCTGTTCTTTGTTTATGTGTGGGTAGCTGTGTCTCTGTGTGTGGGCCTGTGTGTGAACAGGTATGCTTATAGGCCAGAGCTCAAAATCAACTTTCTTCCCCAGCTGCCCCTCACCTTACTTTTTAAGACAAGTCTCTTGCTTAACCAGAGCTCACTTTATGTAGCTCTGGCTGTCCTGGAACTCAGCATGTAGATAAGGCTGGCTGAGAACTCACAGAGAACTCCTGAGTATTAGAATTAAAGGTGTGTGCCACCACACCCAATGCACCCAAAGCACTCATCATTTTTGCTGGACTTGCTGACCAGCAAGCCCCAGGGTTTGCCCCATCTCTGCTTTCCCAGCACTGGAGTTATCGGCACATGATGCTGTGCTAGATTTTTGCATGGATGCTGAGGATCCAAAGTCAGATCCTCATGCTTGTGTGGTAAGCACTTGGTCAACAGAGCCCTCTCCTCAGCCTCCCTGGTTTTCATTCTTACAGGCCTTTGGTTTGGTGCTGGAGAGATGGCTCAGCAGTTAGGAGCACTTGATGTTCCTGAAGAGGACTGAGTTCAATTCCCAGTACCCATATGGTAGCTCACAACTGTCTGTAACTGCAGTCCCAGAGGATCTGATGTCCTCTGTGGACCCCTGTGTACACCAGACATGCATGTGGTACATAGACATACATACAGGCAAAAACACTGATATACATGAAATAAAAATAAATAAATCATTAAAAAAAAAACCCAAAAACATTTAACCCTACTAGGTGGTAGGATATATAGGAAGAAGAGTAGGTTTGGGGAGTTAGAAATAGTTACATTTGCATGCCTATAATGTTAGCACTAGAGAAGCTGTGGCAGGAAGATCACCAATTTGATGCCAGCCTAGGCTTCACAGTAAGATTCTTATCTCAAACAAGCAAATGAAAAAGAGAATAATATATATTGCTTGTGCTTGCCCTGTACTGATGGAATCGTGGCATGTCCTGGGTAATATTGGGCAGATGGACATTCATAG